TGTAACAATTGCCATTCGTCCATTGTGGTCGTTTGATATTAAAAAAAAGAATGTTTAAACTGCAATAAAAGTTTTCAAGAAGATAATAAAGAAACCGATTTTAGTTGAGACCTTCCTTGCCCACGACCGATTTCCATTTTACTCATACCGATTTACCGATCACTACATTGACCGGTTGATACCCTTGGAGATTTGTAGTTCCAACGGTATCTACTCTATAACTGGAGGCGTATTTTTATATTACCTAATGAATTTGATTTAATTTTTGTTTTATTCATCACTTAATATTACACTCATGTAACTAGTGAGAAAAAACACCCTATGGCCCAATCCAATCCTTACAGCATAATTATCTCAAGATCAAACAGATTCGAGCTGAAGAAAGAAATGGTACATTATTATTATTACATTTAAAAAAAATAGCAACAAGGAACTTAAACATGTACTTCGAAAAAATCCGCATATTCTAATCAATAAAATTTGTATCCAGTAAGTACCTCATGGCCGTTCATCACAAAGGATTTACCATCATCCGTATTCCCATAATCTTTGAGATGAAAGAAATTCATGGTCATTTACACAAAATGAAACCTTTAATCGAATAAGTAGAGCCATTCTTCAATAGAGAGCACAGATACCTCGAGCAAACGAATGGGATGACGATGAAACAAAAGAGCTCGTTGAATAATGTTCATCCTCGCCGGACCGATCGCACCTCCGACCGCGTCGTGAGAGCAAAAAGCGCATCCCAGTAGCGCACCTGCGTCTCAGCGCCCTACAATTTACACAAATATTGTGGTACGGCCAACATCTCAATCCACCACCGAAGGGGGGGGGGGAAATAAACCAGCCCAAACTCGTCGAGGGACTCATCGTCGCCTTGTGCGCACTCGATCATCATCGCACCACCCCCACGGGACCAGAGAAAATAAAATCTCGCGGAGGAGCAAAGGTACACGTACACAACCCAAAGTACAACGGGACGAAAAATAAATCGATGTCGAAACAGCAGCCGCGCAGAATAAACGCCAAAAAAAAAAAAAGAAAAAAACTCCGGCCTACGATACTTTCACTCAGCTGGGGCGTATATGCCGCGACCTTTCGGCTCGAGAGCGCGCGGGAGGGGTCCGCGAAATTGGGCCACATTGTCGTAATGGCTCCTTCGATCCATACGCTGCATGTGCGTGTGCTCGCGCGGGCTACCGCGGGAGACTGGTGTATCTCGTTATACGGCTGCAGTTACGTAATACGTACATGTGGCGCACGTGACGGGGAGGGGAGGGAGGAGACGGACAACCAAGGGGTTTTCGGGAGGAGGCTACTTTGACCGGTTTTTTCTGACATCCGGTAGCTCCTGTTAACGACGGATTAGCCGTTGTCGTGACCGATAGATCCTTGTTTTCGTTACATCTCGCGCCAGCGTCTTTGAAACTTGAGACTTTCACGAAGCCCAAAGTGTGAAACTATGATGTACTTTGTTGCGATGTATGGATTGCGAAACGTTTGAAGTTGAATCTACTCGACGATATTTTTAGCGCACCCTTCATACGTTCGATCAAGGATGTTGCAAAATATTGAAAATCATCAAAAAAGGATGATAACTATGTTTACAGCTTCTAATAGCAATCTATCGCATATACTCGCTCGTTATTACTCTATAAATAAAATCGAAGGGGCAAAAAAAAAAAAAAAAACATTTCCTGCAATTAATCAAATTACGCAGGGGCCTTGCCGAATACACGTGATATTTTTTTCTACTACCTGTGTACTTACATGTGTAGTCGGTCGTATTGCGCAAGCGGCTCGTCAATTGTTGGTTTGCCGCGCAAAGGTGATGAGAGGGCCCTTCACCGATCGGCCATCGATCGATACGTGTACCGTTGCCTCGAGATCGACTTCTAAGCCCATTATGGTGTGCTCGATCAAAAGAAACGCTCTTGTACCGGCACTGTATAATATATTAGTCTCGATCGTTTGTACAAGGGTATTACGACACACTTACGTTGTAAGCCTAATGGCCTGAGAAACCAGCCGATTTTTTTTTTCTCGCTTATCCCGGCGAAGCTTTCGTCCAGCGCCTAACTGAAGTTCGCATTATTCAACCGCATTTTCAATAATCAGCCGACATTAATTCCACGCCAGCAAATTAGCAGTCGCGTAAAACCCGAGTTTAATTGTACACCGTATTTATTTACAAAAGCAAGTGCATACAAATTGTCTCGCATTACATGTTATAATAATATGTACTTATGGTAAACATACATCACTCCACAACGCAAAGTCCCAATGCAACGGATGAACCGTACCAATGTATAACAATTAAAACGCGAAATGTCATAATTTTCGTTGGCTCTTCCATGAAAGCGCAAAACCTTGAACGCCTGATCGGCATCTGTTGAATTTTCAAAGTCGACGCAATGTGCAAGATAATATCACACGACTCGCGTGCCTTTACGCGAGCACATATGTATACATGAGTAATTACTGCCGGAGACGGAGTCGCGAGCCTGAAAAGCCTTTCGTTTTCACGATCCAGCCGTGAACCATCGAGTTTCATTGTCAACACAACGAACCGTGAAAAGTCAAGTTTAAGATTAAACGTTGGTCGTTAGCTAATTTATGCCCGAGCGTATACGAGCAAGTGCTAGATAAGTACGAGCGGATACGGTCTAGATACTGCATGCGAAATCTTGAGTCGGGCTCTTGTGTGGCTATGGAGAACAAAGCGTGCAATTTGCGTTAGATGATGCCGTGTGTGGATCGAAAGTACTTTCTAGGAATTTCATTTATTTGAGAAAATTAATTAAACGTGCACTGTAACACATTTTACGTGTTATTTGTATTATGTTGGTACAAAATTTGCGTGGGGTGCCCATCATTGTGATTCAAAGTTTTGTGCGAAATCCAAGATTTTTCAACGCCATTCGAAACACTGTGCACATCCAATGAAAATGGGAGAAAGCCAATGTATTATTATTCGTTGTTGTTTTTTTCCTCCTCGGGGTATCATTTATTTTCCCTGCCAAAGTTCCGTATACGGTACGAGGGTCTTAATGTATTCTGCACCAGACCTACTTTTTTATGACATTGCCGACTCCGGTGTCGCATGTGTACCCAATAAATGTTTGTCTGAATTTTTAAGTGTTTGTCCAGCCAACTCGAAAAATAACAATGATCACATTCAGAAAGAAAAAAAAAAAAAAATAAAAAAAAATAAAAAAAAAAAATAATAAACATGTACGGATGTGCCCCGTGGCCAGAGAGCCTGTTCTTTTTCTCCATCATTTAAATGTACCAATGTCCAAATTTCTTTAAGACTATCTACTGAAGTATTATTAGATTTTTAGGAACTATACAGCCAAGTCATTGAACATAAATGTATTATTTTTATTCCTTTCCGATTAATGCACTATCTAAACTGATCGATACCTAATTACTTAATACTTTACGCGTCGTCCGATGAAACAGTGAGCATTGATAATTCAAAGGGTACAATGTCGATGGAAAATGGATGGTTTTTGTTCTAGAAAAAGCGTTGCACAGGAGTTCTTTGTCGAGGAGAAAGAAGAGAAGGTTTTTTGCCGGCTTTTCGCAAAAGCGGGGATACCTCGTTGCCCAATTGGTATCAAGGTCGACGGCTATTCTTCGTGCGTCCTTTCTTGTTGCCCTTCATCTGCGGTTCTAACTTTGCTTCCAATCACTTTTCATTACGTTTTCAATTTTAAACATCTAATCGGAACACACAAAAAATGTATTGGATTTATATTCATCGGTAGTTTTACGGTAAATTTTGCCAATCGCTTCGAGAACTGCTCATTACGATGCTTTCATTGAATACGTAATGTAATGTAATTTACATAACGTATGGGTGGTACAGCTTTCTGAACGATATGTGTGTCAGAGGAGTTGTTTCACGGTACATCGTATGATCGATTAATCTGCACGCAGTCACTTGGTCACAAAAACATAGTTTAATCAATTTTAAGGAGCTATAAATGGTTCCCCGGATATGTTGGGATTATGTAATGGTTGCGAATCGGTAGTCGACGTTTCATAAGATTTTTCGGTGCAGATCGGGTGTTTAGACGTGATGGCTACATTATATATGTTGATGAATAATTTGCTAGCTATTATAGCTTACTTGACGGTATATACTTACCTTTGATCATCTGCATCCGAAATGACCCAGTTTCTACATGTTCCGTCAACTTTAGAAGGCGATGGCTTATCGGTTTACTTTCATATTTCGTATGTACAAGACATCTCGAAATCAATATCGAATTTTTTGCGAATTGGCTTTTTATAATTACGCAAGAGAAAATTATACAAGCGAGAAATGTATAAACGTATGATTTGGATTAAAATCATTTACTTTCAATAAAATAAATATTCTTCTTTCCCTAACAATCCCTATAAATGTCAGGCTGTTGATTATTGCAGATTAACGTCATTAATAGTGCAACAGTAAATTGATTTGTGCAGATGAAATTTTGGACGCATCTCATGGATTTTTAATAAAAATTAAATTAGAAAAGATACGTAATCTGACATTTGTATTATTTTGGATACGTTTTTCCTTATATACCTCTAAGATATTGAATCCTAATCTGCACAAATAATGTACTTTTTTTTATAAAGTTACTTATGGTACGAGTAAAATCTTTGGTTGAAAATTTAATTTCAGTCTACGATTATATAGTTTTTCGAGTGTTCGTGTAGTACTTCAAGTATATAATTTGTGGTTGGCAATTGATTTTTGAAATGCCCAAAAAGGAAACGTCAATCCTTGAAGAGGTAACCTTGACTCGAGTCATCCTTAGGCTATTTGAAAGTGCCCCATCTGACTTGCACACTTGAGCTGTGTGAAAAACCTTGCGTTATTTCGTACATTATCAACAGAACAATCTTCAGGAGCTCAAATTTAGCAAGCCTTTTTTAACTGATAGAGTTAGAGAAAAAAAATTTTTTTCATGTAGGGATATTGGATAGTAATATTCTTGCTAAGGCCACCATATCACTAATTTCAATGATTCGTGACGATGACCTTGATGCATTGTGAAGTTACATAAGTTGAGGTGTGATGGTGATGAGTATGTATTGAACCTAAAATTTTAATTATCTCTAAAATTTTACGTTACAAACAAAAGAAACTCTTTAAAGTAGTTTTCAAATGACAAACGACAACTTTTAAAATAATTATAACAGAGAAATACTTGTCTAGTAAAATTATCCATGTGCTATCCAATCTAATATTGTTGTTGTTAATATTCCTCTTTATTAGTTTCTTGATTAAGATCTATACTCCATGCGAATGTTGTGTAAATGGAATTGTTGAAGTAGGTTATAAAATAAAAAACACTCATTGATGACCAAATAAAACCAGGCAAACGATCTTTAGGAACCCCATAGGGTATCTTCATTGAATCCTTCGTGGCAACGGGTGGGGTTTCGGAAGATAAACGAGGAAAAAAGCAAAGCCAGAAAATTAAATATAGTTAAGCTGCGACAATTTATTCAATATATTTACAACCTTATTTCACAAGCTAACTTAAACGGTACGAGAAAAACAATAAGTACAAAAAGCCTAATAGATACATCATTCGTGCCGAAGATTGTGCAAAATACATATGAGATTAGGTGTGCGAACAAGTACAAAAAAAATAAAGAAGCTAATCCGTCTCGTTTCTATTTTTTGATTTTTTGTTTTTTCTTTTTTTCGTGCGCGTCGAATACTCAAGGGGTTTTTCAGTCTCGGGGAGCAAGCCTTGGCTGCTTAGTAGTGAGCCTTGTAGGCCAGAGGGGCAGCGTAGGCCGGAGCGGCGAAGGCGGCCTTGGCGACGACGGGAACGGCGGCCTTGACGGCAACGGCGGCGGGCTCCTTGTGCACGACGGCGTTGAAGCCATTGTGGGGATCGGCGGTGTACTCGACGATGCGGCGGGTGCCATCGGCCTCGATGAGCGAGTAACTGCCCTGGACGCTGTCCCCGTTGCGGGTCTCCGACTGGCTCTTGGCGTCACCGGTGAGTGTGTCATGGACGTCGTAGCTGTAGCTGTACTGGGGGTTGGGGTCGTACTCGTTGTCCACGGTCTTGGCAACGACGGCACTGGCGATGGGGGTGGCAGCGTAGGACTTGTAGGCGATGGGGGCGGCAGCGTAGGCAGGTGGGGCTGCGTAAGCCTTGTAGGCAAGAGCTGGAGCTGGTGCGTAAGCTGGTGCAGCCGCGTATGCTGGTGCAGCTGCGTATGCTGGTGCAGCCGCGTATGCTGGTGCAGCTGCGTATGCTGGTGCTGCTGCGTAGGCTGGTGCCGCGTAGGCCAGAGGTGCTTGGCTGATGATACCGGCGCGGGCGTACGCCACCAGAGCAGCCATAACGACAAACTATGGATGAAAATTTACGATATTAGATTGAATTTATCTAGTTTTATAAATTTTTTTTTTTTTTTCATTCTTTTAATACATTCAGCTGGATGGTAAAAATTATGAATCAGCTGCAGATTTTCTATCTAGTATTTTGCACAAAAATGTTATTTCGCGGATACATAGTGACGAATGTATTGCGAGGAGAAATAACAATAGGCAGTGAAAATCGGTATGTTATGTTCCCTTGTCCTTACCTTAAAGGCCATTATGGTAGAAGAGGGGTGCAAGATCGTCCAAGTGAACAAGCCGACTTGTGGAGGCCGATCGAGTGATGCCAGAAGTTTCAAGTGGCCCGGCTTATATACTCGATTTTCGCGAGCTCCCGCACCACTTGTTAAACGACGGCAGTGCAGTAAAAAGAGCGAAAAAGAAGAGAAAAAAAGGGAGATTTCCCCCCCACCCCCGAAAAATCGTGCAACGACCGCGAAAATGATCCCGCGGGTACGTGTACTTTTACGTACGAATGTACGCGAACGTTACGACACACGAGCGCGGTTCATTGGGAAGGTAGTACCCAAGTACACACGGGCATCGGTCGCGTTCCTGATCCACTTTTACCGATGGCCAAGTGCGCTCGCGTATAAATGTGTGTACACGAGACGTTACACGTGGCCGTTAAACGCCCATATGGATATTGCGTCACGCGGGCCTCTTTCTCCCGTAACGTAACCCAACATGTGTTTGCGCACCAGCGTGCAATTAACGCGCGATCTACGCTCTCCCACGTTATTCGGATAAAATTTCTTTCTTATGCCTTTTTTTTTTCTTCTTCTGCGATTAATGGCCCTTTTTACGTACACACGTCTTCGTCGTGGCGTTATGCTCGAGCTCCAATGAATTAGCCCGTGCAGTAGCTCCGTTGATGTATTATTCGGAATCATCGTAATAATGTTCTCGTATGTTGGACGTGTGCGTTACATGTAAAAATGCATTTTGACACGAGTTTGGGCGCCGACACGATCGGGAGGGAAAATGATCGATGAGTCGTATCGAGCGCCCGATCTGATTTTAATTTCGTGTATGGGTGTGATCGTGCGAGGATGATTTATTTGCACGTCAAATGTGGTTCTGAAACTCGTGTTGAAAAACTTTAGTCAACTTGTGTGGACATTATCATTAACGTGAATTTACAACTACCGGTTACCGGTCGAATCGACCCGACAGATGTTTCGATCACCTTTTTCAATACACTTTGCGCGAATAATTGTTCGACAGGGTTTGTTGAAAAGCATTAACACACGAGGCTTAATAAATAAATTACTACTCTGATCGGAGCATTTTGTTTCCTGATGTCTGGAATAAAAAAATCGAGTACATCGCGAATGGTATGAAATATTTAATCGGTCGAGAATGTGGAGTATCAAAAATCCTTCATCGATTGTTCAAAAAATTTCGCGAAATAGGGGCATTTTTGTGCATCAAATTCGTAAAATTTCGAATCCTCGAAAATACCCATTTAAATTGAATTCAGAAATCGATGAAACGGACATTGTTTGAAAAGAAGGTTTTTGTAAACAGAAGTATGTTTGTTCGGTACTTTCACTTACGCGAATTAAAAAAAAAAAAAAAAATCAAAAAACAAATAATTCGTTTGGCATTAATTTATGTCCCGCAACGCACCGCGTACGATTCATCCGATTCATGATTAATTGATTCGTGTGGCACGAGAGAGAGAGAGAGAATGTGTTGTTCCTTTTTTCCTCGCGGGCTCCTTTCGATGTAAAGGTCACGCTCGTGTTCTCTCTCTCTCTCTCTCTCTCTCTCTCTCTCTCTCTCTCTCTGGACCGGCGTAACAATTTTGTAATCGAAATGCCGAGGGAACCGAGCACAGAGCACAAAAGAAAAAGAAAGAAACACGAAGGTCCTGCGATACTTACCATGCGTTCGCACAATATCTCGCTGACCCGATCTCTATCTTCTACCCAATGTAAATGTATACCTACTACTATTTCGGGGGGCCCGCAAAACCCATCGTCACGCGTATTCACGTGCGAGAGCGTTACACGTAATTTTGACAAGCAGCTAAGCTCCCGGCTGTCTGGCCCTGGCTTTGCATCTCGATCAAGCGACATGTATACCGATCAGCGAGCGCCGATCGATAGACAACGCCGGGGAGAAAGAAGCATACGAGGAGGGGCATGGACACGGCGTAGATGGCACGGAGGTGTGGCGAGCGAAAATATTTTTCGGCGCGCGTAGACTTCCCCTATGGCCTCTGGGAAGTATATAAGGGCTACGAATTTTGAGGATTGGCATCAGTTTCACCTGAGCGATCATCTGAACTACCCAGAAATGGCTTTCAAAGTGAGTCTCGGTCTCGGTGGCATTTCTGCTTCATAGAATTGCTTTGACTTTGCTTTGCCAACATTTTTTTTTCTTTATTCATACTTAAATTCAATATTTTCATTGTATTTCATTGATAATTAGTCTCCTCATAGTGAGTTTCTTGTTAAACAGCATAACCGAAAACCTGTCGTTATTCCTATGTGGAAAAAACTAGCTTCTGTGAAAAACATGTTTTCAACCCTTAAAGTGGTAACGATTTAATTTATTATCTCTCTTGCAGTTCGTCGTCCTGTGCGCCCTCGTGGCCTACGCCAACGCTGGTCTCCTCCGATCGGCTCATCTGTACGAGGCTGCCCCAGTAGCCTACGCTGCAGCCCCCGTGGCCGGTGCCGTCATCACCAAGACCGTCGATGCCGAGCACGACCCCCATCCCCAGTACAACTTCTCCTACGACGTCGAGGACACGCTTACCGGTGACTCGAAGAGCCAACACGAGCAGCGCGATGGAGATGTCGTCCAGGGCAGCTACAGCCTTCGCGAGGCCGACGGCACCCGCCGTACCGTCCACTACACCGCTGACGACGTCAATGGCTTCAACGCCGTGGTCGAGAAGAGCCCCGAGGCCGTTGCTGTCAAGGCCGTAGCTCCAGTAGCCACCTACGCCGCAGCTGCCCCAGTTGCCTACCATGCCCCAGCTGTTGCTCACTACGCCGCTGCCCCAGCTGTTGCCCACTACGCCGCTGCTCCAGCTGCCTACCATGCCCCACTCGTCGCCAAGTACGCTGCTGCCCCCGCATTGGCCTACCACGGTGCTCCTGCCATCTACGCTCACTAATAGTATACAGTTATCAGTTGTGAATACCCACGTAGACATTTGCTTGTACAGAATTGTAAAAGTCTAGCTTGCGGTTTTCCCCTTATTGCGTGTCATTTCATATATATTATGTACAGTTTAATTTTCATTTCTTTGAAATGGAATTGTTATCAACGGCTGTGCTGTTTCGCATATTTTTTTTTAATTCATTAATAAAGCTTACTGATCATTGATATGAACATAAACAGTGCCTATTTATTTTGCCTCGATGATTTTTAATATTACATATAAATGGGTACGGTGCTTACCAATGAAACCTCTGAAATTAATTTTTTTTTTCATGTGCCAAAAAAATTGTAGTTAAACAAGTCGGTGCTACAGATATTTTATAAATTTTGTTTAACAACTACATGGCAATGGTGATATAGAGAATCAAATGATTTTTGCAATTTATCATCAAGTATGTATTAGTATCTATAAGTTTTATTCTTTTTTCGACGGCAATTAATCTCATTTTGGTGAAAGTATACTAAAAGTAGAAGAGCAATTAGTCTCGAAAATACGTCATTTCAATTAAATACGTGTCATTAGCTGCTTGAGCTTAAAAGTTGTGTTGAAAAAAGAAAATTTATCGAAGTGAATTATCTTTTATTTTGTCACTTTCATAAATTTTGTGGTAAGTGTCAGGACCGAAAAACAGTGTGACTATGATTTCATACAAATTTTTTGGAATTTTTCTTTATCTTTTTCCAGCGAATGAGTGTTCCATCTCAATAGATTTTTCACCGATTTTTGTGTCAACGTATCCTTCTCCTTTCTCATCAATGGATTGCCATCTTAGCAGTACATTCAAAAGTTACATCACGTATACTGTTGATCATTTAGAATATCAGCCTTCATTTACCCCGATGATTTATCCAAGACGCTGTTCATCGTGCTACCCTTATTACTTTTGTGCCAATTTTTACCCTTCAAACTACCTGTATACTAATTTGTATGAGTCACGTCGAGCTTAGATGTGCCTTTATGCCGAAGTAACTTCACAAAAGAAATATACGCGGCCTACGTGTTCGATAAAGTATGTATTAGCAAATCCTTATGCTGTTGTGTATGATAATTATATCGTATGGTGAAATTGAGGCATATAAGTTGAGTAGAAACCTCATGGCTGTGAGTTGGCCCATCAGTAAACTTTGAGCCAAAAAAAGCAAACAATAATGTTTGTTTTTCAAAAGCTGACAGATCTAGAGGGACCTCCAAAATCCATCACTGTCGATTTCTTTGAGCTTTTGCAGTACTCTGGATTTGCTTGGCGGTAGTTTTGGCTCCCTTTTAAAAACTGTACAAATAAATGCATGACTTAAAATCCACGATTTTTCGGAAAAACAAGAAAAATGCGTATACTCACAAATGAAAATGAGGAGCATGGTACAGGTACAATAAACCGCTTGGGGAAGTAGGAGACTCTTCAAGCCGTCCCCGATATCTTTACCTTCCGTTGTAACGACGGCGGGCACGAGAAAGGACATTGCCGCCATGCCCACCTTCTGACCAACGAAGCCCATACCCGTAGCCGTGGCAACTTCGTTGGGCCCGAACCATCGCGCCGCAAGTATTCCGGGCAGGGATATCACTACCCCTTGCCAGGCGTCGATAGATTATACACTACGAGTGTGCTCTGCACTCCTACGGTTGATACTTTATAGAATATAATTTTTCACGAAATAATAAGTAAAGTTTATCAAATTAAATCAATCGATGATGGAAAGTATTATGTACTCAAAACGAAAAGTAGTAATGCAAGTGACCTCCTTTTGGACGCTTTAAATTTATAAGGATCAACATGTATTGTTCACTTTTTTCAAAATTTCTGATAAAATTTTAATGAAATATGTGCATGAATTGATGTTAAACTCATTTTTATCTTTACCAGACACTTTTTTAGTGAAAAAATTTTAATGTATGATAAACAGTACTATCATTACTAAGTAACGAATTAAAAAATCATTTTTTAACATTTAAAATTAGTTTTACAATTTTTTGAGTACCGCTGTTCGATTGGATTTTTTGTTGTCTAGTGTGAATTGAAAAAATGATTGCTTCAAAGAGTAAACTAAGAAGATCATCATGTCACAGTTCACTACAAAAGTTTTTTTTTTTTTAGCTTATTACATGTTTATTAGAAACATTCTCCATACCCAGCAATAATGAAAATTCACAAAATAACTAATGAAAAACAATGCCAGTACAAGTCAAGGCTGATTGCTCAAAAATTTTAATTTTTTAGATACCGTTTAAATTCATCCATTTCCAATCCTTTTGAGTATAAAAAATATTTCTCTCAAAAAATCAAACTTTCGAGCTGTTCAAAAAATTGTTTTTGTCAAACCTTCGAAAAGTCGATTCACCGATTTCGTACATACACTCGATTAATCAAAATCGTTTTCTTTTCCACTCCCTCGAATTCTCTCTCGGCAAGGTTGACCAAAAAATCAATAAGAAACCAAAATATACGATGTAGAAAGCTAATAAAAATAACGCACGCAAAATATGCGACGAGTAACACGTCAATCTAACGTCAGCTTTGCAACTTGTGGACAAAGTTGCACAATGTATCGTTTGGCAATCGGCCGTACTACTCTTGGTATAACTGATAGTTTTCTAAGTTAAAAAAAAAAAAAAAAAAAAAAAAAACATAACATCAGAGTAATGCCTCGTTAATTACGTTTTTTAACAATAGCATTCACAACATGGTCTCATCTACTCGGCGATTGATGCCTTTGTGGGTTACCATTAGAATCGATGCTCGTGATCGGACTCGAATAAGGGATTCATCAAACGCGCACAATTTACACGAGTCATTTCCATTAATTGTGTGTAAGCCAGTAAATTTTCAGGCAGAGAAGAAGGTATGTAGAGATGACGTGTACGATCGGGGCAGTGGCCAGTGGATGCGAATCGACAAAAAATCGAGTGAATGGAAACGAGCGCGTCCAGATTTTCCCATTGATACGTGAGAGGCAGCGCGAGACACTTTCTCCGCGAGGCGTTCCCCCTCGTAATCCGCCAAAGTGACACGTCTGCGCCTCCGTACGAAATTTTGACAGCCGGGAGAAGGAGACAGTTTAGAGAAACTATTATTGTGGATTATTTTTATTGGCTGCTGCCTTGAATACGCGTTACATATTATCTCTTATGACCGATCGAGCGACACGAGTTTGCGGGGCTCGCTCGTATGGGAAAAGTAAGAGGAGGTGGGTACTCGCAGATACGGGTATGCCTAATTTAGACGAAAGAAAAAAAAAGAAACAGAAATATACCTACAGCCGAGTGGCAAAAAAGGCGGGGTGACAATGGACAAACCGTCGTTGAAATTTGGCTGCCCTCGTGTGGTATAAAAGGGACGTCTGGACTTTGGACCAGTATCAGTTCCTACCGTGAACACCTCTAGCAAACATCCCAACAATGGCATTCAAAGTAAGTTTTGCTCTTTCCGAGTGGATTGTGCCTTACCGCATAATATTTCTCTTTTCTCATTTTTTCGCTGGTCATCACTATTTTACGATACGGTTGTTAATAGTTATTTTTTATTGTTCATTCAAATACAATTTTTATTTGCATCGAATCACACATCTGTCACGTATTGCATGAATATATAATGATTATAGTAAAATTAACTCATTGGTACGTTACACGAGTAAGAAAACCACATCATTTATTTTGTCACGTAAAAGTATTGTTTGTATGATTAATAAATTGTCAAATAGTTCGTCCTCTTCGCCGCTTTGGTGGCCTACGCCAACGCTGGTCTCCTCCGAGCGGCTCATCTGTACGAGGCTGCCCCAGTAGCCTACGCTGCAGCCCCCGTGGCCGGTGCCGTCATCACCAAGACCGTCAATGCCGAGCACGACCCCCATCCCCAGTACAACTTCTCCTACGACGTCGAGGACACGCTTACCGGTGACTCGAAGAGCCAACACGAGCAGCGCGATGGAGATGTCGTCCAGGGCAGCTACAGCCTTCGCGAGGCCGACGGCACCCGCCGTACCGTCCACTACACCGCTGACGACGTCAATGGCTTCAACGCCGTGGTCGAGAAGAGCCCCGAGGCCGTTGCTGTCAAGGCCGTAGCTCCAGTAGCCACCTACGCCGCAGCTGCCCCAGTTGCCTACCATGCCCCAGCTGTTGCTCACTACGCCGCTGCCCCAGCTGTTTCCCACTACGCCGCTGCCCCAGCTGTTGCCCACTACGCCGCTGCTCCAGCTGTCTCCCACTACGCCGCTGCCCCAGCTGCCTACCATGCCCCACTCGTCACCAAGTACGCTGCTGCCCCCGCTTTTGCCACCTACGCCGCCTCCGCTCCAGTTTACAAGGCTTCCTACGCACCTTATGAATACCACCACTCTAGCCCAGTTGTGTCTTACCACGCCGCTGCCCCAGCCGTAGCTACTTATGCTGCTGCTGCCCCAGTTTTCAAGGCTGCCTATGGATACCACTCTGCCCCAGCTAGCTACACCACCGTATATTAATTATCAACACTAAAGATTTTTCCATGCCTTGTCTCGAAAAGCTCAAGTACCATCTCATAATTTGTATTGAGCTTTCTCGCAAGTTTTCTATTACTACTTCACATTGAAGAAGGAATTACATAGAAAATTGGGACTCGCGTGGTCGTGTATCGACTTAGTTGTAGTAAATACCAGTGCAGTTGTGAGATTTGAATGGGCCATTTCTATAACGGTTTTTACAAGGACGATTGTGCCATTTATCGAATGAGCGAAACAGCTAGCTTTTGTGTTTTTGTAATTCTGTTCACCGTTTTTACCTGTTGTATGTTAATAAATGTGAATATTCCAACATAAACATTGAAAATTTACCACTTATTCTAAATCAACGTACCTTTTTCCCGTATAAAATTCACCAGAAAGCCGTACCATGATAATTCTGCTATGTATTGCTTGCAATTGATTGATTGACTAGTTATTGTAACTACAAGATTGCAATTCTTATACATTATTCAAGTACATAAGTAGGACGGGCTACAAGAACTCGGAACGATTTCACAACCATCGGATTAATGGATGGACGAGTTTGATTTACTTTTCTTGTTCATTCCCATGGGATACATAATAAAAAAATGAAACGCAAATGATTGGATTCTCAAAAGAAACTGACCAAGTATTGTCTGTAAAAAATAACGCGTCTTGCAACACTAGACTTTTCCGTGGCAATGCTAAGAAAAACACCCTCGAAACAAATATAGGTTCATAAAAAAAGTAAACCCAACGATGTAGTAACAAAGTAACGTCCATACGATTAATACGATTTCGCATCTGGCGAATGTATACACGTAAAAACGAACGAAAAAGATCTTTCACTTTAAGCACGATACCCAAGACCCGAAAAAAAAAAAAAAAAAAAATCTCCATTCGAGCAAAATTGTAAGAAAAACAAAGCGTATGATGTATGATTGGCGCCAACCTCGGGTGGAGATCGCCTCGGGGGACCCGAATTTCGATACGCGCGTGGTTATACAAACACGTCGATCAAACCGGGAGCTCTCGTATCGGGAGCAAAAAATGTCAAGAAAAGGAACACACGCGGGATGCCTGTACTCCTCGCGAGAGATTGCTATCGATTTCGCGTATCCTTCGCGTAGAGAATTACAGCAGAATGTCTGATTTAAAAAAAAAAAAAAAAAAAAAAAAAAAAAAAAAAAAAAAAAAGAGGAACCATGAATGGAGAGGATTGGCGCAACTATGGCACGGTAATCAGTCTCGGGAACGCGGGTGATCGCCGAAAGAGATACTATGCCATTCCTTTCGATGATCGGATGGGGATCTATGCGCTCATTGGATAAAAAGAGAGAGGAAGAGAAATTCGCGGTGATTTTCGGGTGATGCGCTCGCGGCTGGCGATGAGCGGAGGTGTACAGCGAGGGACTGGATGTATATATCCGTGGGCCATTCTAGGCGCTTAGATTCAGTCGTGGGACCGATTTTGCCGAGTGAGCGTCATGTCTGCGGTAAGTTTGACTTTTTTCAAGTGTTTGCTCGTACAGCTGGAAATTCATGCGGATGAATATGTATTTACGTGTTTTTTTTTTCTTCTTTGTTTTCGTTTTGTTGGCGTAACGAACGGAACACGTAATCGTTGCGTTTCGTAAATCACGCTTTAAATGTGTGATCCCTTTTTTCTTCATTTTTTTTTCTTTGTCAATCTCAAAGCAGCGCAAAGAAGTGAGAATCGCGAATAACCGAGATTGAACGCCGACTTTCTCCTTGGCTGTCCGGTGCAAGGGAGTAGTGGATTAAAAAGTTAATTCGACGGATGCGCGACGTTTTATTGACCCTTCGTTTTACAGCTGGGAAAAATACTGTTGCTTCTCGTCGTAATGTACGACGCCAGCGTCGACGTGACCATCGCCGGGACATCGTACGTCTTCCAATCGACGCCAATTTTCACCATTTCCCAGCACAACGTCCATGACCAGTCGACGCTGCCCAAAGCGCATCCGGTGCTCGTTGGCTCATCTGCCATCGACTCCTACTCACAGGAACGGTTGTCCGAGTACTATGTCCAAAAACCACAGCCGGCATCCCCGAGCCACTCGGTCCAAGAAACTTTAAGGCCCGACGTTCCTCCTGGATACACTTTCTTGCCCGCGATGATTGACGCGCCTCCTGGGTACCAGCTGTTCAAGAAAAACTCGCCCTACTATTGAAATTCTGCTCGCTCTTGCTACTCGTGCACGCAAGTGGGTGAAATTGTGTTCAAACGTGAGTTTGATCGTTTCATAATACCATGGATTAGAAATGGAACTGCCGTGTGACGTTTTTGCAGTAATAAAATAACGTTGTAAATACCTGTGCGAGATGTATACTAATTTTTTTTTTTTTTCATTAATTCACATTGTGATGTAGTTGTAAAATACCTACATTTTGTTAAATTATTATTGAAAAAAAAAAATATATACATTTGTGTATTCCTTCATCCATCGTCGAATTCTACCACCTCAAAAGTGAAATCAATCAGTTCGCAGCGAAGATCACTAAAAACGAGCCGAAAGTACCACGGGTACTCGGGTTACCAGAAAAAAAAATCATTGAAATTTTTTTCTCCCAGCATTTCGCGTTACATCTCGTGCGTCCTTCCAAGGCCGCCTGTCATTCCAAAATTGCAGACTACAATTGCTCACGGACTGAGAAGAAATGGAAAGGGAGTTGTAAAAAACACACCGAGTCTACTCACCAATTACACATTAGCCCGCCGCCAAAAACGTGGCTCAGGTAAGTGTGTACGTGAATTATTAGCGCGCTCGTATACCTCGTAAAATCGGCCACTTAGCCCCTCATCGTTGAGTCGATGAAAAATAAATAAAAAGTACAGGTAAGTACAATACATAGCGCGTACCGATCTTTCCCTGTCCGGCCGATCTCGATGAAGGTCTTGGCGAGTGCTGAGGGAGCCAGGATCAATTACGCAACGCGCCCGTCGTTTTGTCCGCACGCACGACGGAGAGGCGTAGCCCGCGAGCGTGTGACCTTAAAGTTGTGATTTCTCGGTGGGAAAGGATCTCTCCTGGATCGGTATAAAGGCGGGATGCTGAACCGCCTCGGCTGGCATTCGCCGGCTGTCGCGCGCGGGAAAAGTTTGCAAAGGATATTTTTTGAAGTATAATTGTCGACCTGGTCTTTGTTGTTATGTTTTTGTTCCTCGTTTGAAGTAATTTTTTTTTTTTCAATCTAGGTTATCAGAGTGTAGAGATAAATATAAATATTAATCCGCATATTATGAACTTGATGGGCACATACTCGACTGAAAAAAAAACTGATTGATTTAAGCCAAAAATGTGTCATTTAAATAAAGAAACTCGACATACTTTCTCCGCGCATAAGTTTTATATTCATGAAAATAACAGCGATTTCAAATGCTAAAGACTGAAATTTCGAACTTGATACTTTTGCATTAATCTTATGGAAATGAGATTTTTTTCTGTAATATTGACAAATTAATCATGTATTTATAGATAACTGTCCCTCATTTGTGAGCTTATTTGAATTCCAGAAAAGCCATACAAGACTCATTTGTCATAACCATATAAAAAGTTATAAATGATCCTCAACTCCGTAAGATCAATGAGACCACAAGTTCCGATCTTTACTTAGTGCTAAAATTTTACGTTTATCGTACGATTGTTAACTATGAATTGGGAAAACCACAAGATTTTCAAGCCGTTGAGTTTTTTATTTATATCGTTCTTATGAATTTATGCAAAAAAATATTTTTGAGGTAAAGACATTACATGTAAATATTAGAATCCTATTACTCCTCTACCCCTATTAGGTCATTTATGAATATTAAGAAAAAGAACTGTACATAAAAAAATGAATCAAATCAGCGCACTACTACTAATAATACGCTAATCAAGTTTGCTTATTTTTGCTCGAAGAACAATTAAATGATACAAAAATTTTCACGGAGTATTTATTTTTGTACACATAAGGGACAAACTATATACACATATATATTTTTTTTACATTTTATGTTCAGAGTTTTTTACAGGGAAGTTTATTTCAAAAACTACTCAAGATGCAACTTAACAACGTAGCCTTTTGATGCTCTAATGGACTTTGTTAGAAAAGATAACTCATGTGATTCACATTTTCGCTGTAAAAAAAAAAAAATTTCAAAAAACGAATGTAATCACGCCCATGTTGCAAAAAGCCTTTTTTACATCACCTAGCTGTTATCTTCTTGTCGTTTTACCCGAAAAAATGTTTCAACTCAAGCTCATACGGTAAGAACAAAAATGATATACATGAATAATCATAACCGAAACGTATAAATCTCCGTGAAGCGAGGAATGTCAACGGATTCTATATATTCTTTCCGAAGAGTAGGCCCGAACTGTTGCAAAAAATTGAAGCAAGGAAAAAAAAACTAGTGAACGCTTTCACCCGAAGCCTCATATGTAGGCTCCATAGGAAGGCCCGAAATTAGTGCTGGTAAGCGTAGTTGAAAGGGGCGTTGGTGATGGCGTATCCGTAGCGTCCGATGGCCAAATGCTTCTGCGGTGGTAGGGCCGGCTGAATGGGCGCAACGACGGGTGCAGGTGCCACCACCGGGGCTACAGGGGCACCGGCGTAGCCATAGGGGTGATGGTGGGCAGCCAAAAGATGGTTGTTGTAGGGGTGATGATGGGCAGCCAAGAGATGGTTGTTGTAGGGGTGATGATGGGCAGCCAAGAGATGGTTGTTGTAGGGGTGAGCTGGGTAGGCGAGGTGGTTGAAGCCGAACGGACGGGCTAGGCCAGAGTGGCCCGCCACCGACACGTAAGCGTTGGCTGGGTTGGCGACAGCTGCAACGAAATAAAACAATCATTCTCTCGAGCAATCACACACGCTTCAGCTTGTTCAACTAGCTCATGATTTGTCGTTAGCAACACTTTCATCTAAACATACTTAATAGTTGATGCACAGATACATATGTGTATTGAATGAGGATGAAAGCAAATTAATTTGTGCGCTTGAAATACACAAAAATCGGTACAAAATTAAAACGTGCAGTGCCTCTTTGAGCAAACATTTGGAGGGGAACCCTTATACTCGTTTGTGAAAGTAAAAACAAAAACGACAGGTATATAATACACCTTGGCACATCGATCACATCTTTTTTTTTCCTACCGATCCCGATCACAAAAGACACTCGAGAGTTTCCGTACCCACCAATCGATCGTTACGTCCAGATACAGGAAAAAAAAAAAAAAAAGAAAAGAAAAGAAATATAAATTACACCAGTTGCAGCGGTAAGAATAACCGACGTACGCGCGATTGCGCAACCTCTCCAGGAAGCAATCAATCGGCAAAATCGGCCAACATTCGCACCCTTCCCCGACAACAATGGCCCCGAGTCGCCGCGGTAACTCACCGTTAAGATGACCGTAGGGCAGATGCCCGGGCACGACCGGTCCTAGGCCGTTCGGGTGCACGGGCAGCTTGGCCGGTCCCAGAGGACCCGTTGGCGGCGCAACCCCCAGCTCCTTGCGCACCACCGCGTTGAACCCGTTCACTGGATCCGCCACGTAGTCGACTATACGACGACTACCGTCCGACTCGATGAACGAGTACCCACCCCTGACGACGCCACCCTCCCGGCTCTCGTGCTGGCTCTTGGTATCCCCGGTCAGGGCGTCCTGGACGTCGTAGGCGTAGCTGTACTGCGGGGCCACGTCGTCGTGCTCGGCCGGCTTGACCAAGGGCCCATCACCCAGGGGCGGTGGTGGCACCACGGGCCCCAGGGGAGCGATCGGGCCTTGCTTGACCAGCAGGGCGCTCGACGACGCCGCGAGGACCGTCAGGACCGTGAAGGACAATTTCTGGAAGTACAATGCACAGGTCAATTCAACACGAGCACCCGGTACGCCGGAGTGAGTCCTACCAGTAGCGCCATGCTTGGGGGATGGTGGTCGGCCGGTGGTGGCAGAGAGTCTAGTCCCAGACAAGCGGCCCGAGCCCGTTATATACCTCCGAGAGCGGCTACTGCACTCGCTCTCCTATCGTCTTAGGGCGCCCGATCCAGCATAGCCCCACTTGTCCCGCGCGTGCCCCCTGGCATCGATCACTGCATTTTTATCCCGGCCCCCCCCCGTAACTGCGGGCTACGTGTGTGCTCGAGGCTCTCCTCGGAAGATATACGACGTCGACGCCCAAGAGTCGTAATCCTTTCGGTTAGTTTTTCCAGAATGTGTGCGCGTGCGTCGGGAAATCGTGCGCAGGGCCATTCGATGGAGACACCCGACGCGGGAAAAAAGAGGCGTTTCGTAATCTCCCTCCTCCCTCCTCCTTCAGCACAACTGAGCAATTGTGCGATGCGTGTAAGGCCCCTCTCGACGAGTGGTCGCCGTTTCGATTGTGCGTGTGTTCCTTTTTTTTCAATATATTGTTTTCGGGGGCTTTCTAGTTTAGGTTTTAAACGGGTGGCATCGCGCATGGGTGAACTAGAGGCGACGGCCACGTTTCATCACGATCGTCAGAAAATCACCCGAGGATCTTCAACGCCACCAGTGTCTTTTACACCTCGTTCGGGGGGTGCAGATTACCGCAGACACTGCGCCGATTTATATACTAGTTGCGCAAGCGGTTATCCTCGCTCGAGGGTGTGTATGCATGCACAAACATAGCCGAGAGGCTAATTGAACGTCAACTGGATAATCTTGGGCTTCTGCGAGCAGATGGAACAAAAGTGCCCTCCCCTTTTTCTCGTTTGATTTTAATTCTATGTTTTTGACGATCGGTTGAAAAAAAAAAGAAAGAAAGAAAAAATTGAACATCTCTGGTCGAGTCGCACACACGTATGATGCAGCCAGTGCCGTCAATGTCGAGCCTTACATATAATAAATCAAAAAGTCAATCGCTCCCCCTCTCAATCACCGAGCAATTAACTGTCTCACGCGCGCACGGACAAACGAGTAAAGTATCGATTCGGCCGATTTTCCTCAGATCGGCCTCGAGATCGCTTTTATTACGTTGCACGTATATATGAGGCTGCAGCTGTACGCAATAGAGAGGGATATACTTCCGCGTCACTCTGTTGTATGGGTTATACCACTATTATACGTACAGTTTATCCTTTGCCTCCCCGGGGCTGTAATAACGCACTGCGCGATCGCTCTGTACATGTATATTATAATATACGTATGTGTGTGCATTGCATGGCTCCCATGAAGCCAACAACAGAATCATTGCGTTGCGGGAGAAACTCGGCACTTTTGTCTCCTCGCTCAATTTCTTTGTCGCCGCGCGTGCGATTGTTCCGAGCAACTTGAAAGTTCATCCTCCGAGTTGTGATTCAACAACTATATTTTCCATCAACTCGTGTTAGTTATCGAGCTTTGTAGGACACTTTTTTTTTTAAATCCATCAGTTAATGGTATGAAAAAAAAAAAAGTACCATTCAGCCTTCAAAGCATGAATTCCAGTCGGCAAACCAGAGCAACCCTGTCACACGATTGGCGCTGGAAAAACACTCGGTGCGGCCAACTAATTGCTCCGACCTGCAAGTTTAACGACACTAAATCCTATAATGACGGGAAAAAATTTTCTCTCAACCACCAAACCTAGATATCCTACGTATAGGTAAACGATAAAACAGTCAGCTTACAAACAAACAAAAAATCAATAAAGACAGCTTGGCTAACGACAATCGGCAATTAAAAAAAAAAACCGTAGCCGCGCCACGCGCTCTGGAGTCAGTAAATTGTCCACCAGCTCAATCGGGGCTCCAATTTGCAGTAGCGTTGTAGGCGTTCTAATGACGAGTTGTTGAAGAAGAAAAAAAAAGTCACACGCCGAGAAGAGAAAAAAAAAATCTCAAATAGAGACACACGGCGCTTAATTCGTACGTGCAAACGCCGCAGGCCCATAGCCGAGGGGGACGTGGTACTTAAAATACGCACTGTCGCTACACTGCTTTATAGGTGTTACGTTATTTTATAATTCGCGTGTACGCGAACTCGCTTGCCCGTACCACCTCGATGGACCAAACGCGGTGCCGATGAAATCTGGTTTTAAGCCCCTTCCTCGAGCTTTATTGTTCGGTTGTACGTACGTTTTAAGCACTCATTTTTATGTTTACCACAAATATATATTTTGGAGGAAAGCAAACAATGTACTTTATCGTAAATAGTAAGTCCATAAATCCTAAAAACGATCATCTCGAGAAAGTAAATAAAAAAAAAAAAAAAAAAAAAAAAAAAAAAAAGGAAGCTGCACGGCAGCAGGTGAACGTCCTCCGGCAAACGGGAATCGGCCCAGAGAGAGACGAATAATATACAATGTCCACATACATGTGCACCGTTTACGCAAGGCGAGCTCACGCACGTATATATATAAACGAACGAGGAAGACGCGGAGGAGACTCGTGACAGCCCGAGGCCACACAGACGAGAGAGTATAAGCTCATCCTCCTCTTCTTTTTTTTTTCTTCCTCACCATCGGCTCGCGGTCAAGGTCGGCCATATCTCGCGTGCTCCCAATGATGGCCACGGACAACGGCCCATCTTCGGTGAATCACCGGGGCAACTATATACGGGGGCTCAATTTTACGGTCTTGCGCAACAAGGTGCGATGAACCGTGTCAGCAGTGCACACGGGCGTGTATCATACGAGTGGGACCGAAACGTGTGAAACGCCACTGGAAAAATTCTTTAGTTATGTGATTTAATTGAAAAATGTACGCTTCTATACAACTGTCATCCTGCGATGAAGTATGGCCACACTTATCCCTGAAAGTTACAGAAGATACGAGTTTACTCATTTCTAGCGTAACGCAATCCTTGAAAAATCCAACTAAAATTAACGAGAGTCTATCAACGACTTGCGCAACAGCGATGAAGCGGAGCCATCGCCACCTTCATCTCTGCAAACGAAAGTATGGCAAATGTAGAGCTGACAAATATCCTCTGCTGCGAAGAACGGATGAGGTGCCATTATCGGTTCCGTAATTGATTGTCTTCGAAGCCTATACGTACATATATGTATATATGCACGTACGGTATCTGCGTCGCATTTAAATGGTAGGTGTATGTATATTTATGGTAGAGAGGGGAAGGAGTTGGTGCTACGACTTTCGTTGTCGCGCAATACTCACCTGCTGGTAGATAGGACGTGAAAGTCACTCAGCTCATTAATATTGACGACGCAGCTTCGAACTCTTTTTTTTTCTTTCCTTTTTACAGCATTATCGTTGTTATTTCGTATACGCATACGCATGTGTGTATGGTGTTTCTCTCGTTTTCTATACAACAGTGATGTTAGTTTAGGTGATTTTATCGCTTCTGGGATGAATGAAGATACTCTAAGCTCGAATAGAAGATTACAGCCGTGGTATGATTTATTGAAATGCGCCGTGAGTTGACATTTGCATGATAATCGTCGTGGTATGCCTTTTTTTTTAAACTGTCTGCAATGGTGCAACGCCAAAGTATCGCGATAATTGTAGAGCAATTTTCGATTATAATTTATATAGGAGTGTGCGCGCGTTGCGTTACTTCGAGGCAGTCCTAATTTTTAAATCAAACGATCACTGAAAAACAGTAAAGGAGGCTTTTAATTTTTTTAAGGAATACGTGCGTCTGTGATAACGTTGCTTTCTTGGAGCTAAACCTTTTTTTTTTTTTATCTTTCCAAACGTAATGCCAAAATCCAAATGCCCGTATGTATAATTTCAGGGGACTTTTTAAAAAAGTTTCACGTATTTGCATTTCACGTAATTCTCTTTTGACGGAAGAAAAAAAAAAAACGAGCAAATGACAGTATATTACCCAACGATTTAATATGTACGCGCGAGTGCGTTTTTCACCGTTCCCATGCACAAAAATCGATGCATATGATACTATCGATGAAAAATCAACAATTGAGATCGACTCGTCATGTTTCGCCACGCCTACGCCCCCGCGATGCAGCTCATTGGAGTTCCGCGCACAAACTTCCAATTAGGATCGCGGGCGCGAAAAGCAAGGCGATTTATGTAGGCCGATCGCCGAGCCCATCTTTCGTATTCCACAAACGCTTCCCCCCCCCCCCCCATTGGCGCGCGCGCGACTTCATACATGCACGATGTGACGGAAGCGCGAAACGAAAGGGACAGCGCTTATGCAATGGAGCGCTCGGTGAAAGCCCCCCTCTGGGAGTGCGCGCCGTCTCGTTAGGAAAAGCGTTTTTCTTTCTTTGTTACGATACCGCTGTTGTTTCTAGCCTTTTTTTTTTGGGTTGTTGTGGGATCGTTGTCTCGTTCAAAACGTGCCGGATGGTATCTCCCGTTGCATTAATCGGGAACAACGGCCTGGGTAACCGATGGAGATCTCACCGTCACGCACAATAACGATACCGAACGACAAAATCTGCAAAATCTCCAGTTTTTGCTTATGCGATGCCTGCAGGATCGGCCATTCCCTGATTTTCCCTATAGTAGTCGGGCAGAATTAGTCTTTTCGGACAGAGAAATTATTATTAGCTCAAAAAAATTTGATTGCTAGTTTCCACCTATTACATCAATTTTATTGAATTATTGAATTTCGAAAAAATGGCCCAAAATGACGGTCTTTTGCAACAGCTCAATCGATTAGGGCCCAACACGGCTCATTTTGTTCGCCTTAAAATTGCGCATCTTAAACTTTTTTTGTACGATTATTGGTATTTGTTTTAGAGTCAAAAAATCGGTTTTGGCCATTTTTACCATTTTTTTGGGGGGGGCTTTGGCTGACTTTTTTTGTCCTTTCTTGGTACAAAGTGATGTAATAAGTAAAAACTAGCCGTCAAATTTTTTCGGAGCTAATAATAATTTCCCATGCATCGACAGGATTTTCAGTTAATTCTGCCGTACCTATAGATCGAAGCGATCGGCAGATAACAATTGCTTCGATCCACTTGCGTTACATACCAGGGAGGATGTATCTGCCGTACGTTTCGACATCCTAACAGATTCAAATTTCGGTTTAGCAATCACTGGCGAGTGAAAACACACGTGTATTATATATATAATTACACGCTCGCTTTCGTTTGCCAGCGTGGTCGTCGGCTCAAACGGGACGGACGAAGAAGAAGAGGAGCAAAAGAGAAAGAGGGAGACGCAACACCGGCGCAGTGAAACTTTTTTCCAGAGCCGGGTGTCATCGTCTGGCCCGATATCACGTACGCGTGTACCAGAAGTGTAATGGGCCCGGCTACCGTGGGGGGCCTGCCGAGGCGCTCCTATAAATACTTACCTGCGCCCATCCTGCGAACATCAGTCTCGTTTTCGGCGCATCGTCAAGTACGCGAAGCTTCCTACTCTCGACTACTTTGGTCAACCTGGACAAGACGAAAATGGCCCCGAAGGTGATTGTCAATCTTATTTCTACTCCTTGGTTTCTCAAATCTGCGTGATTTGCGTGAAACAGTGCGACACCAGTGACCAAACGGTTTGGACGTTACGCGTTGGGTGAACAAAAAGTGAACAAGGAAGAGTGGGGACGGTCGAAAAAACTAGGCTACAGGATATTGTCTCCTGAAAGGGGACAACATCTAATTTGGCCATTTACATAAAAAACAACACGGGTATTAAATATTTTACGTTAAGTAACGATACATCGATAAATTAAACTCTTCGAACTTTGTTCTTCAAAGTAAATTGCTAAAAACGGCTGTTAAAAAGTTAATTAAAAAAAAAAAAAAAAGCTAATTGTACAATGTCTTCATTATTCGCTGTAATTGTTTGATTAGAATCATTTGAACCAACGCCACCACTCTTCCACGGGTCGTCCAGGAATGACTCATTGCAAAATCGTTTCAAACCGATATCCGACCGATCCCACAGAGACTCGTTTACTCTGGGGATCGAGTCGTACTACTAGCACTTTATCTCCAACGCCTGCGTGTAAAACACCTACTCGAACGAAAAGAGAAAAAAGAAAAATTTGTCCACTTGCAGATAGCGCTCGTCCTCGCCATGGCACTGGCCGCGGCCCACTCCAGTGTGATCCCAGCAGCCCCGGTGGCATACGCAGCCGGCCCGGCGCCTGTGGTCGCAAAAATCGACGACTACGACCCCCATCCCCAGTACTCGTACGCCTACGACGTCCAGGACTCCCTGACCGGGGACTCCAAGGCTCAGTACGAGACCCGCGATGGTGACGTGGTCAGAGGCAGCTACTCCCTCATCGAGGCCGATGGCACTCGCCGCATCGTCGAGTACACCGCCGACCCCGTGAACGGATTCAACGCCGTGGTGCACAGAGAACCAGCCGTTATCAAGGCCGCGGTGCCTGCCGCGCCGCTCAGGGTCCATCCGTTCTTCCACTGATGAATTTTATTTTATTTTATGAAATTTAAACAAAATATTTATAGTTTCCCCCCCCCCCTCTCTCTCAAGAGCGCCTAGTCACGAGAGTTTGTGTGTATATGCTATACATGATGATACGACGATACGTTATTAATGTGTACAAGGTTTACTTTGATCTTAAGATGTAACATTATATGTATGTGAAAGCATGTTATCGACAATGCTTACGTTATTTCGCATTGCCAATGTAATCGGTACTGATTATTAAATTTTTTTTTAAGAAAACAAAAGCAATTACGGTACACGATCTCGTTTATTTGATCCTGCAGTTATACATATATCCTTGACCCCCAAAAAACATTGACAACTCCATTTATGGAGTTATTATCTTATATATGTATATTTACTTGTGTTTTTACGGAATTTTTTTTTTATTTTTTATTTATAGCACAATTATCATTTCGATTGTTTTTCTTTGCAAAACGCGAACGATCCGTCATCTTTGTTATTTACTTAACGAATCGAAATCGTCGTGCTCGAACATTCTGGAAGAAAGTGGGCCAAGAAAATACCACCCAATGTACATATACCACGTGCCAGTGCACGATCGTGACAAAAATAACAATCGCGCGCGTTTCGTCACTTTTCAAGATAATCGATTGCCGCAAGAGTCGACCGCCCAACTGCGACGACACAAAGTGCACGAGCTAATTAATTGCTCCAAGGGCCCGTGATGGTTCCAAACGGCCGAATCTCAAGCGCGAAACCTCGGTTGCAAGGGTCGAGCATCCACGAACCAGGGCACGCGTGAAAAAGGTCACGGGTTGTACTCACGAAAAAAAAGGACTCAAGCCAAAAATTACCTCACAACGAGCGTATATGCGTAACTGGTATCGTGCCGTTCACGCGCACGTATAACGCGAAACTCGTTGGGCAACGATAGCCCGCGTCTGGAATTGTCGCCGAAGACTCGCGAATATATTACACTTTGGACATTTGCAAGCACCAGGCGCTTCTCTACAGCTAATATTTTTTTTTTTTTTCCATTACATGGGGCAAAACTTTCTCTTTTGTTGGTGTTACAAAGCGATGCTTCATGCGTCCATCAACAGCACGATTTGCTGTTTCTTTATTATTATTAAAAAGTACACACTGCGTGCATAGTTTTTAATGTATGAGCAGCACTGATAAGTCAATGACGATTATCAATTACCATGGCTAAGCTGTACAATTTTTTCTGAATCCAAATTTTTTTTTACGTATGGCTAACAATCTTTGCAATATTTTAAATCAAACAAATTTGTAAATATTAAGGACAAATAGTTGATGAGTTATTAAAAATGCCATGGAAATTACAAAAATATTTCTTTCGATGACTTGATAAATCGGTATAACATATTTTAAAACGTAACTTTCGGTATCAATAATTTAAATATAATCATCATACATTCTTTCTTCGATCAAGAAAAAAAGTAATGATTAACTACTAAAGTATCAAGAGGATTTACAACATTATTGTCTGTAACACAAAGAAAATAACGGCAGTAATTTTTACACTTTGCCAGTTACGGTAATTTTTATTTTTTACCGTAATTAATTATAATTTTTAACCCTCGCTTCAGAACAGTTTATACCACATTTTATCTATAAAAATTCCTGTGCTCCATGACATCACGTATAGTTGCGTGGTAAAAATCACTGTAGTTCTTTTCTCCGTGTATAATCGACTTGAGAACACAACAGAAACAAGCCCCCCTGTATAGTTACAAAATCGGCATACCGATCGTTGCCCGTATATCCTTCTCTCAGCTCCTCCGTCTGCCGAAACACTTATTTTACCATACCACAGCTTTGAATTTCCAACGCAAAGGGAGACTTGAAAAATACCTCGGGCACGAGCTTCATCCAAAACCTGTATCATGCAAATAACCGCGCCGTGCCAAAACTTAGTTTCCACGGAGATAAGAGGAGCCGCACCGGGCAAGCACGAGCAAACTTTTACCGATCACTGAGAATCGGCGTCGGCGCGGTTGCAAAGGAAAAAAAAGAGGTTCCTCGTTGACGCGTAACGAGCACACTCGCTTCTCTTTTTTTTTCTTTTTAAAACTCACCCAAGCCTAATGGGTATACATGCGTCCTTAAGCCGGCGAGAGCGTATCCTCCGAAACTCCACGAAATAAGAAAACACCACGCACCCCGCGACGCAACCGTACCCACAATAGGTACGGCGAAGATCGGTTGGTTTTCGGGTCGCGTATTATTTACACGCAGACGCGCTTAGCGCACCAAGAGGCGAAAAAGATCTCTCGCACGCGTGTATTCATCATCGGCTCGCGGGCACGTGCGTATAAGTATAGATACCACCACCGACGTCAAAAAGCCGGCCAGAGCGCGTGCCCCGAACTTTACCGATCGTCGCGAGTGGGGGCGTATACATTGGGGGACATTGTGTCTCGCACTGTATGTATATATGTAACTATACGGCTAGACAGATTCTTATTACGTGGAGGGTGTGTACACACACGGGAGAATCGGATGATGGAGGCGCTCGATTACCATCACATCTGTGCAAGCAATGTAGGACTAGGCCGCGCTATACTCTGCTCTTTTTCGGTGTCCATGTGTATAGGTAAATGATTTTCGCCGGTGCGTTCGAGTCGCATAATAATCATACATACTTGGGTGTATAAGGATACTTACGCACGTACGTGTGGGACACGACGAACGCGAGCTCGGACGCATCACCGGTATAAAAGAAGCTACGATCTCAGCCCAGGACATCAGTTCTCTAGTGATCCTCTCTGAAGCTCTTTAGGAACATGGCTGTCAAGGTAGGCACTGCAGAGTTAATCGAGTCTTTGATTTTTTTTAACTATTCGTTTCGTGCGTGTAAGAGAGTTTCGTTGCATTGACTGTCGATCGGTTAATGGATAAATCGATATCGAATCAAGTGGAATTAATTTTTGAAAACAATAAAATGTATAAGTTTTGAAAACGCGATTAACAGCTCCTGCTTACTAACATGGTATAGTCGGTAGTGTGAGGTCGTCATGAGATTAATTCGAGACTGTGCATTTTTCAATTCGATTTTGATTTTTTTTTTATTTTTTATTAACAGTGGATTTAATCTGCGTGTGTAAACTCCATGTGTACTTAATTTAAATATATTTACTTAAGTATCCGTACGACTATACATTACGTACACAAATTGAAGGGTATTTGCATGAATCGGATGGTACAGAGTGGAAAGGGTGTGTCATCCAGCAACACAGAGTTTTGCTTAATCAAGTACAACGATCTTAGTATAATATGTGCTTTTTTTAAACTGCATGCATTTTTTTGTAAAAGTAAATAGATTAATCGTTAAAATACAAAAATGGTGTACATACAATTTAAAGTCAATGCATGCACGCTGAATTCACAACGTTATTTAATTAATGTGAAACTAAATGAGATAACATTGGGACAAAAAATGTATATAATAACACTTGTCTCGAAGAATAATACTTGCAGCGGACGAAACAAAATTAGCATAACGATCAGGATAGTGTATCAACAAAGTGAAATCAAAAAAGCTTTTTTAGAGCTCTGGCAATGAGAGCACTTGAAAATTTCCGCTGCGTATCATGGTAATGTACAAAGAAAATAAATACCCGATGACCCTCGACTCCGAATCAGTCGAAAACGTAGCTCACTTATCAAAATAACTTTTGTTTAAAAAATCATAAATTAGTAACAAAATAATTAACTTATTATCAATTCCACTTTCCCTTTCCTCAAGTACATAAGTCCTTTTAGCAGCGGTGGCCATCGCCCGGGGCGTAATGGTCACCCTGGTAGCACCAGTGGTGTAGCAGCCCAGCCAGTGGTAACGATTTAATTTATTATTTCTCTTGCAGTTCGTCGTCCTGTGCGCCCTCGTGGCCTACGCCAACGCTGGTCTCCTCCGACCGGCTCATCTGTACGAGGCTGCCCCAGTAGCCTACGCTGCAGCCCCCGTGGCCGGTGCCGTCATCACCAAGACCGTCGATGCCGAGCACGACTCCCATCCCCAGTATAGCTTCGCCTACGACGTCCAGGACTCCCTGACCGGGGACTCCAAGGCCCAGTACGAGACCCGCGACGGGGACATTGTCCAGGGCAGCTACTCCCTCATCGAGGCCGATGGCACCAGACGCATCGTCGACTACACCGCCGATCCAGTCAACGGATTCAACGCCGTGGTGCACAGGGAGCCAGTAGGCGTGGCAGTGGCCCCCGCACCTGCCGTCGTGCCAGCTGTCGCTGGGGTAGCCCCGCAACATGTTCCAGCGCCCGGCCGTGCCGTAGGGGTAGCCCCGGGCCAGAACATCCCTCAGGTCCCCAGCTCCGGCCCCGACTCGGATGTCGAGGTTCTGGAAGCTCGCTCGGGCCGCCTCCGCCAGGAGCAGCAACAACAACGTGAGGAGGCTCAGGTGGTCAACGACAACGCCCAAATCCAACTTCAAAAGCAGGTAGTTAACACTCGGGCCGTGGCGGCTCGTCTTCCCGTTGCCTTGGCCAACAACAACGTCGTCCAGAGGCTCGTCTCGGCTCCGGTTGTTAGGCCCCGCATAGCCCTCGGCTACCCGGCCTACACCACCTATACGGCCGCGTACACTTCGCCCTTGGCCTACAGCCCACCCGTGGCCGCGGTTGCCTCGTTGGTGTAAAAGCTCCCGATATGCCGACGAGTTTTCGCTTGTAATTATTGACCCATGCAGTTTGTACGATAATAAAAATAAACGGCTTGTTTGTAAGATGCAATCTGGCGTGTGCCATTTCTTTTCCGTTTCCAAATTATCATACGATCCTGTCTCGCTCGAGAGCTTTTCTCGAGATCTCGAATAGGGATTAATAGTTTAATTGTGAAGAGTGAAATTGAAGAATCACATTTTTGAATTTTGGTACGATTTGTTTGACGACCGTTTAACAAAATAACAATGTGACGTGCGTCTGGAAAACTCATTCAGTACCGTTACATTGAGCGTTTTACTGTGTTGATGAAGAAAAAAAAAAAAAGGTTTCAAAAGCCATTTTCAGTTAATAAATGTGCTCCATGTATCATTCGAGGCTTACTGGATCAACGCACCGTTGCTCAGGGTAAAGACACATGTAACGGCGAGGACCACGCCTCTACCATGGGACCCCCGATTGAAATTCGAGAACAATTCACAAATCTCCATTTGCATGGGCAATTTGGCGCGGAGAAAAACGATTGCCCAACCGATTTTCGAATAATCAATCGGCGCAACGATTCCCGAGAGGTCAATAGTGTGCACTCGATGACGTAACCGCCATCAGCGCAATCTCATGTCACATATGCGTCCTTACGTCACCCACAATTTCCAGCTGTCAAACTCAAAGAGGTTGACATATTCTCCTCCTTCCCCTCCGCCCCGTATAAGTGCTCATATATGCCGTGATCCAGCGCGCGCGATCGGAATTATAACAATCGTACAAGTAACACGGCCAACGCTGCGTAATCGCTGTTACACGATCTTTGTGTTTTGTTATTTCTTGAGCTCCCCCCTTTGTCCCATTACATGCGTTAAAATCGCGTTTATGTACGTTTTAATGGTAATGTGTACGCTGGAGGACATAGGAGATCTCTTTACGTATTTTACGGATAGGGGTAGGTACGTGCCCAAAAAAGGGAGTGATAGTTTCCTTTTTCTTACGTAGGATTTGGCAATAATTTATTTATGATTTCTGTTGATTTATCAGACTTTTGATACTCAAGAAGTCGTGAGAATACGTATCGATCACGTACACGTTGTGCGTTTTTACATGGTCTTTTAACAGTAGGTACCGAAATACCATCCCTGAAGAGTTGTAGTTATTTTACTGGATAGCTTATACATCAGTTTAATGTTTTATGAATTTGAGGTGTAACAATTAACCCAATGAAAGTCATCACCCGTATAAAAGTGTTTCATTAAAATTACAACTTAATTCGGATAGTTGTTTTGACTTTCTACTTGGTTTATTAACTTTATCAACAAATAGAACACAATTTTATGATTATAAATGTGCATCATCTTTTTGACTCTGATAGAATAAATCACGTAATAATTAGAGATATCATCGACGTCGTCCAAAAATTTTGTTTTATGAAGCCAAGTCCCTGTCCTCGTAGCTAATTTGACCACAAATACAAATTTTTTAACTTAAAAATTATCAAGAGATGAATTCATGCTAGGCTGCAAATCTAGTAGGTACTTGTTTTATCCCGACATGATATTTTGTCTCACTAACAATTTGAATTTTGTACTGTTCCTTTATCAAACCTAAATACATAAAACAAATTTCAATAGGTTTTGCTTGTCCTTTCTTTCATTTCTTTCATGCATGGGGATATCATCGATTTCGCTTGGAAAATTTAACTTAATGTTGTCAGACCATCGATCTCCTTATTGATTGTTTTCAAGTTCTACATTGGTAGTTTATCCATCCAACGAGCAAAATACAATAAGACATAAACAAATTCCCACATTTTTGGATCTTATTGTAAAAATCTCGTGTTAATAAGAGACAACATCAACTTATTCATTCGACAAAATAAAGTTCATGAAATCAAAATCAAAATCAAAACACGATTGCTGGATTTTTGATACTAAACTATTAATTTTTACCTGACAAATAGAAGACAAAAAACTTGATTTCACGCAGTCTCTACTTCAAATAATTGTTATTACCCTTAGCAATGGATAGAATAAAAATTTTTAAAACATTTTACTTTATAATGTTAAATTCAACAAAACTGTCTATTAACGAGAGATATTATTGATTTCTCATAAAATAACTCAATTGCACGTAGTCAGATTATTCTATACCACCATATGGTACTAGTTATTATGAAGTTTAACAACACTAATTCACGAATTTAGTAACTAAAATATAATAATATAATATTAGAAAAACATCAAATCCCCCTTTCAAATAGCGGTAAAAACATTCACAGTTGTGTTTCTCATGTTAACGTTTCACAATAATTATGTACCTATTTGAAACAAACGAAAAAAAGTTGCAGAAAGAAAACTGTTCTCCTTCATTGATACCGATCAATAAAATCGTGTTGCAATTAGAGATACCATTGATTTTGTTGCAAAATTAATTCTATTTATTTTTTGCGTGCTGAATTAATATTTTTATGTACTAAATTATTTGAAAACTGTTAACTGAACTGTCTCTACATTTTGATACCGATCAAAAAAATCTTTCAGTAATTAGAAGTATTGTCGATTTCTCTCAAACAGAAGAAATCATCTGAAATCGGCAAAAGACATTTGAAATCAATTGGTCGTGTTAATTACACTTATGATTAAATAGGTAAGACTTGGATCGACTCAAATAAAACTACGTGAGCATTGCATGGGAATTGATAAACAGGAGCGAAAAACAACTCGAGCACTTGACGCATCAACCGATTTTATTAACAGAACTTTCGTTCGGACTCAATACACATATATATATACACAAAATGACCGAACAGAAGACAGTAACAACGAACTTACATAAACGGGAATCAATGTATATATACGCTCGCAAGTAACAATGACAACGAGTATACACAGAGGCAAAGTAACAAAATTCATTTTTTACGTAAAAAAAAAAAAAAACCAAAGAAAAAGAAGAACGCGACAACAAACGGTTGGGCCTAAACGACGTACGCGGAGTAGGCGAGCGGCAAGCCCACCCTAGTAGCCACAGCCCTCGGGATCGGCGAGTAAGCAACGGTCCTGGCCAGCACCGGCGCGGCAACGGCCCTAGCTCCCACAACCGGAGCCGGTCCAGCCACAACCGGAGCTGCGGCCACGGGCCTGGCGACCAGCGGCGCTGCAACGGCCCTGACGCGAGCGATGGGGGCACTAGCGACGGCTCTAGCTGCCACGACCGGGGCAGACACCACCGGAGCAGCCACTGGAGTCCTGGCAGCCACTACCGGGGCAGCAGCCACGATGGCAGGCTCCCGACTGACGACGGCGTTGAACCCATTGACGTCGTCGGCGGTGTAGTCGACAATGCGTCTGGTGCCATCGGCCTCGATGAGGGAGTAGCTGCCCCGGACAACATCACCATCGCGGGTCTCGTACTGGGCCTTGGAGTCCCCGGTCAGGGAGTCCTGGACGTCGTAGGCGAAGCTGTAGCGCGGGTGGGCGTCGATGCTCTCGATTTTGGCGAGGACCGGTGCGGGTGCGACTGCCACGGGCACTACTCCTGCTTGGATGGCGCTGAGCCCAGCGGCGAAGCAGAGGAGAACCAAAGCCTGCAAAGTGGTTGCAATTTACAAGCTCGAGTTGCTGTCGTTGAACAAAGTTTTATACAATAGAAAATAGTATACCTTGGGAACCATGTCGATTTTTGGCTGTTGTCTCGAGCGAGTGACAAATTCGAGGTGATGGCTATGCTGGTGGAGCTGCGATGAGCGACTGATGGCACTACCGAGCCACCCCGGGTCTTTTTATCGGCCGGAGATGTCACAACGGCCCGCGGCTCCTACTCCTCCTCGTGCGCCACACCGGCCGACCAAATGCTATCGTGGATGCGCGATGCGCGCGCTGTTGCGTGTATACGGTGTCGTCCATCCCAGGAGTTGGATATCGAGTTGGCTGGCTGACAAGGGTAGTTGGCTAAGGTCGCGCTCAAGGTCGCGCCGCTCGATTTTCGCTATTGCGCGATCAACCGATTCGGTACGGCTTACTTTACTTTTCGCCGCTCGCGCGTGCGGTGTGTGTATACGTATACATAAACACCATCGATTCCAAGTCGCATGTGCTCTTTGTTTTTTCGAGCTCCGCCTATTGTTCTCTGGATCTCTGACCGACTTTATAGTTTCGATCACTATGCGACAGGGGGTGTCTGTATAGGGATCGGTAACAACCGGTCGCCCTTATATTTATCCTCGCTGCTTTTTCAGTGGAGGGATCATTCGTTTGGAAGTGGTATCGACTCATTACTCCGCTGATGAACGAAATACTTGGTTATTGTAAGAAAAGGGCTAAATCAATAAATTAATGCTTTTTAAAACCCATTAAAAATCGTTAATATGGTTAGTTTTTTTTTTTTTCCATTCGTACACTGTAAAGTAGAAATCAAATTATACCAATTACGAGTCCCGCTTAAATCCTGCCCTTTGAAACGTACAAGGTCCCGAGGGATAATTATCATCCTTAAAGACGAGTCATTTGGTGCTGGAGAAAAAAAATAAATGTATTTCCTGTCCTTCACCGTTCATTTATCAACTCGCGAAATTCAATATCATAAACCACCACAAAGTCAACGCGCCACAGGCTCTTGAACCCTCCCACACGCCCATTGCCGCGTGCGACCTTGCAAGTAAGCGTCCTTTGTTCGGCTCGCCCGGATCTTCGGCCGCTGTGGGTCCACCCGCCCGCTGGGAGCCAATTAAGTGTATTACGCCTCGAGTTACACCCTGGACCCCTTTGATTCTTATCTCCTTGTCCACGTGTACAACAAACTGCAAAAAAAATGAGAAAAAAAAAAAATGGTACAACATATATGAATCTTTGGTCGAGTCATGCAGGGATTTATGACATTCGAGTGGGAGGCGAGAGTTTCGCACCTCAAATCTGCCCCGATAATTGTTCCTCACCTGTTGCTCCCTGCTCGCACGAGTTTACGGCCGCGGTTTAAGTTAATCCCCAGCTGACCATAAATATCGAGATCCTCCAAGCGCTTAAGGCTTATATGGCGTCGTAAACGCGCACATTAGCATCTGCCAAGTGGTCATTGGGTACACGCGTGCTCTCGAAAAGGTGCGTAAGATTTTTCACCCCGACCTCACCATCCATAATCTTAATGATGACGTCGTAAATTTCACGCGCCCTCCCGTATCGACGAAGGATCTTAATGACGTTCCCGGTGTGCCTTTAGGTGCTCTCTCGCGTGGTTCGAGGAGACGTGCGGTTCTTCAAATTGAATGTTACATCGCAAAGTTACATCTCATCGGAAAATCCAATGGCAAATAGGAGGCAAAAGAAAATCGCATGGCTCATCGGTATGCGGACCGGCTCGCGACTCGTGACGCTTGAAATACTAATGCGTACGGCGTTGGCGTTGCCCAATGGCTGTACGGGCATCTACATGTCGCCGATGGGATGCACTTGGGGTTCTCAAATTTTTTTCTACTTGGGCTCTGTATCCGCTCGTGGTCGCGTATATGATCGTTCTCGCGATGTGGGCTCCGTTTAGTCTTGCTCCGAACTCTTACCAGTGATCATTTCTTGGGGTATTCCTTTTTTTTTTTTTTTTTTTGCAGTATGCCGGCATGGTTAAATGGTTTATCTATTAAAGTTAAGTAAGGATCGCATAGGCTATCGAGAAAGCGAAAATTATGGTGTATTGTGAATTTCGGTTTTGTCGCAAAGAAGAAAGTAATAAAATAACAGTACGAAATAATAACACTGCCAGTCTAGTAAATATTTTCTTGGTTGTTAGACATTCTTTGTATTAATGCGGACAAATTCTGTAAGGATTTTTTTTCTCTCAGAAAATTTCAGTAGTAGGTAAAAAAAGCTGAGCAAAAAAAATGACACTTCTTGTGCGCATGTTGTGCAAGTTAACCTACCACCTGACCCGTACAAACAGACAGTTTCAACTAATCACTGAAAGATAATCGTTGCAAAGTAGAAAAATAATTTTCTTAATTTAGTTTCTTTAATTTTTTAGTCTTGTCAGAAATATACACGTCACACTCACCCACCAACTCCGTCACTATCCAAGAACAAACTGTTTTTTCCCCGAGAAACAAGTAAAAGCGACCCGTACACAACTCGTTCGAAGCAAGTTGCCGCCTCTCAAAGGACACGCATACCGGCTCTGCTCTTCTTACGCAAAATACACGAAGGTTCCGTACAACCGCCACACACACACGCGCTCCTCGTCGTGGTAAAACAAGTACACTCATCTATAACGCGCCGATCGACATGCACTACATACCCACGAGTATGCCAGAAACAAGACAAAAAATCAAGCCAACGAGAAAAAGAGGGGGGGAAAAAATGATTAACCTCAAGCCAACGAAGACAAGAAAAAAAAGAAAAAAAAAGCTTGCCGACTTTATTGTCACGTCACACGCGGAGTTGGTTACGCAATCACCGTTACGCGCCGGTTGCTGCTACTTGGCTTACGAAAGGCGCGAGGCACACTGCACATGTGCCCCATACGTGTATATACATACATACACGTACAACGAGATATATCAAGAAGTGAGCACAATGGCACGCTTTCGGCTGACTATTATGTAGGTGTATACACACTTTCACGGGCTGGGAGCTCCGTGGCGACCTTCGGCCACGCCAATCGCCTGCCTAATGGCGAGAACACCGCGCGTACGCGATTGCTTCTCTCTTTCTTGGGATATGTTGGTTTTGTTGGAAAAAATCTCCGAGAGCGTATACGTTTGGCCCAAAAATCATTGGAGCATGTGTGATTTTTGTGTACAGTAGACAAGTGTTTGGCCATTGGGTCGTCGGCCGATCGCATATGGGTTAGAGAATCGAAATATTAAGTTTTTATGGCTTTGGAGAAAGCGGGCTTTCGTTACACATACACAGACCAATGATTTAATCTCACAATGGAACAAAGTCCCTGTGAATTACCTGATTTTTCAAAAGCACGTCATTTTGTTGCAACTCTCATCTCGAACTCATTATTTTTTACATCGAAACTCATCTCTATAGATGGTAGTTCTTTTTTATCCCATTAAGTAAGATTAAAAACGCCAAAACATTACTCGTGAATGTTAAAAAATTCAATAACTTCCAGGGAAGAGGTGATAATCCATCAGCATTTGACAAGTTGCGTGTGTGCCGAACGGATTTTCAGTCGGCGTTCACCAATACGCTAACTCGATCTCGCGAAAAAAAGAGCCAATGCCCTCTTTTACTTTGTAAGAGAAAAAAAAAAAAAAAGATTTACAAGCGTCGCGAATTTCGAGCGCAGTACCCGATGCACTAAATCTCGGAAAAAAAAAAAAAAAAAAAAAAAAAAAAAAATTGATCTAGTTACGCGCAACCCCAGTGCACGTTATTACATATTTTTTCATGTAACTCGATGCCACTTTCTTGTAAGAAAGAAAAAAAGAAAAAGATTCCTATCCGTGAAAAGTTTACAAACGTAATGCTGAGATTTTCGCGAAAAAATAGTCCGAGGCCAATTTTCTCGATCCCTCTCTCTCGTTCACGACGAAAGCAGCATCATCTTCCGAACAACTTTTTTTTTTCTTTTTCCACGCCAAGAGCAAAATTTCGAAAACTTTTCCGATCTGCATCCAGTAGCTTTCCCTCCCCCGTACACACGCAATCCCTGTACACCGTAGTATAAACAAGCTCTGCGTGCCATTGACACTCGTCTGAGAGCTGGTCTGTTGGTG